CTGAAGAAGAGAAGAAACTGAGAAGATATCTTCTTAAAGTTGACTTCTCTTCTGACAAATGTATCTGTGAAAGATAAAGAAGAGAAAGAAATCAAGAATTGATAATTCTCACATCTCTGAGTTTATATTACAATCACAATGAATATTCTGAATGAGAAGATATTAGTGAGATGTCTACTTAACTTCAGAGTAGATATTAACTTCATATTCTATTTCTTTTCTTTGATGAGGAGTTGAAAGAAGACAGATCTGTCAGATTATATAAAATTTATCAATGAAATGAAATATCACTGTTTTGACATAATTTAAGCAAAGTGTATAATCACAAACTCAGAAGAAATTTTTAAAAAGAGTAGTCTGCTTCTTCTCACTGTTAATATTATAGATAAGAATATCATTCTAGATCTTCTGTGATTGAGAGAAAACAATTCTCTCATTGACTGAGTCACTCAGGTGTGATGATACTGTCTTACTAATAAAGAGACAGTGATAGAGAAATCTGAAGAGTTTCATCAGAAGAATCTTGAGAAAAAGATAGAGTTAATATATTATGCAGTAGATGACTGAGACTTGAGAATAGATAAAGAAGTTATCACTCTCACTGCAAGATTAGTAACAGTATCTGTCATTGAAGATGAATGAATATAACATCTCTTTACAGATTATGAGAATATTCTTTCAGAAAGAGAAGCAGTGAAGTTTTCTAATATAAAGATATAATATAAGATTCATCTTAAAAATGATATAATTATGTTATACAGGTCTCTTTATAACTTATCAGGAAAGAAATTGAATGTTCTGCATAAATATCTTGAGAAAGCACAATCAAAGAAGTGAATATACTCATTGAAGAGTCTGACAAAAGCACTCATACTCTTTATATCTAAGAAGAATGATAGACTACATCTATGTATAGACTACAGAGACCTCAATAAGATAACAGTTAAGAATTACTATTCATTATTATTAATTGATGAGATGATTAATCAATTATCTGAAGCAAAGATATTCTCAAAGATTGATATATAAGATATCTATCATAGAATCAGAGTTAATAAAGATAATGTTTGAAAAATGACTTTTCATACTAAGTACAGCAATTTCAAATATCTTATTTTATCTTTTGATCTTTGTAATACTTCAGTCATCTTCCAGATCTATATAAATAAGATGCTTTGAGGTCTTGTCAATGTCTTCTCTATAGTATACTTGAACAATATTCTAATCTTCTTGAAAAAAGAGAAAGAACATAATACTTATATTCAAGAAGTATTAAGTCACTTAAGACAGCATCAACTCTATACAAACACTGAAAAATACTTGTTCTATGTATAGAAGATTGATTTCTTAGATTATATTATTAAGATTAATAGCATTTCAATGAACAGAAGCTGAGTCTCTGTTATTAAGAACTGACTAGTATCATGAATATACTGTGAAATGCAGATATTTCTAGAATTTATAAATTTCTATAGATAATTCATTTATACATATTTACAGATTACTGCCTCTCTTACAGATCTGTTAAAGATAAGTGTTAAAGACAGAAAAATAAAACTATTTACTCTCACTCAAGACACTGTGCAGACATTTGTATAATTGAAACAAGCTTTTACAGATAATACAATACTGATTCACTTTAACTCTGATGTACTGAATCAGTGTGAGACTGATGCATCTGAAAATGAGCTCTGTGAAATCTTTTCACAGTTGATACTGAAGATCTTTCAATGTTGAAAGAATTAAAGAATAATAATCTCTGAGAATACAGGCAATGAAATGTCTGTAAGAGAAGACTTTTTCACAGAGTGTATAAGATACTGTGAATAAAGATCAGTGATCTTCTTCTTCAAGAAGTTATTATTCATACAGAGAAGATATGATATTCATGATTAAGAAATATTAGCAATTATTGAATTCTTTAAGATCTAGTAACATTATCTTCAGAGTAATAAGTACTCAGTGTAAGTTCTCACTGATCATGTAAATCTGTGTTACTTCTTGATAATAAAAAGCTTGATAGAATGTTAAGTCAGATGAGCAGAGCTGCTTTCAGAGTATAATTTCTATATCTGATACTGTCTAGATCAGCTTAATCTCACTGACACACTGGCTAGACAGTCTGATTATAATATCATTGATGAGAAGAAGAATCCTATAAAAGAATCTGTGTTATCACTATAGAAGAAACTGGCTGCAGAGAGTTGAGATTCTCTGAAGCTCAGAAGTAGCACTGATAAAACAGCTATATGACTCAGTATAAAAGATGAAAGAAAACCTGAATCTCTGCAGAGAATTAACACTGAAGATTATAAGTATCTTATATTATATCTTACTGTTATTGAATTGATAAAGAATGAAACAGTTTACAATCTTTTAATCTGACTACTTTTAAAATTCATTGATAAGTTACAGCAGAAGAATATCTCTACTGCAGCTTGAATTCAGAAGTTGAAGAAAAAATAATCTAGTTGAATCTTAGTAGAGACAGACTCTGAGCAGGGCAATACTGCTAAGAAATCAAGTCACTGATAACTAGAAGAATATGAACTGCTACTGCTAAATAATTCAGTCTTTATCCCTTATAGCAGAGCAGTGTGTTAAGAGTTATTAAGAATTCATCATGATAAACTCCATGCTGAGTACTTCAGATTAGAGAAAGCTGAAGAGCTTCTAAAATATAAATATATTTAAGACAAGCTCTGAGCAGATATTACAGAGTATGTTGAGACATTTAATATCTGTTAAAGAATAAAGATCTCATAGTATAAGTAATACACTGAGTTAGTATTACTGCCTGTTTCAAAGAGCTTATAACAGAATCTATCAATGAATTTCATAGTTGATCTGCTAAAGTTGATAAGAGTTAAAGAATATAACTTGATTTTAGTCATTATTGACTGCTTTATAAAGATAATAAAATATATTTCTACTTATAAAAAGATTAAAGCTTCTGAATTGACTGATCTATTTTTAGATATTATTATTTGTGATCATGATGCTCTGAAATTATTGATAACAGATTAAGAATCTCTCTTCATCAGTAAATACTGATCAGCTTTTTACTATTATCTTATAATAAGATATCTTCTCAGCACTGCATTTCATTCACAGACAGATGATCAGACTGAATATCAGAATCAGACATTAAAACAGCATTTTTAAGTGTTCTATTTATATTATCAGAATGATTGACTTAAACATCTTCTGACTACTGAATTTATGTATAACAATGCAAAGAATATAATCTTAAAAGTATCTTCTTTCTATACTTATTATGAATATAATTCTTCATTACTCAGTGACATTGTGAATGACATTTTAAAGAAGAAGATAGACAGTCAGAATATTGAACAGATACAGAGAACAGAGTATCTCTCACTATTAGAAGTTAAAGAAAGATTGAAACTTTTAAATAAAATTAATAAGAAGGTAGTAAGAAGCATCTGCTACACTCAGAAGTGATAGACAGAATACTATAATTAAAAATATCTTTTAATGAAGTTCTTGATAGAGAATCAAGTGCTACTTTCAGCAAAGAATATCAAGACAATGAGGCTGTGTAAGAAGCTCAGTGAGTAGTGACTAGAACTCTTCTCAGTAATAAGAGTGATAAGTAAGCAGATATATGAGTTAAAATTAATCTCAGAATTGAAATCAATTCATCCTGTTTTTCACATCTTCAATTTAAAGCTCTATAAGCAACATTCTGAAGTAGAGCTGTCTCAGTCAGATAGTATTAAGATTGAGAGTGATACTGAATATTTTAGGAAGAAAATATTGAATAAGTGAACACATTACAGTAAGCTTGAATATCTTATTAAATAAGAAGATTACTCATCATCAGACAATTTGTAAGAACTGCTTGAGCATTTAAAAAATACTGAGAAAGAGATTCTAAGCTATGAGACAGTTAGTAGAGACTGTCTCATTGTACATCAGAGATGGTGAGTAAGAAAAACAACTTAAGACTTCTCATTTTTCTCAAAAACAAGAGTTTTTTAGAGATGATCTCACTGTGATAAGTTAGTGTCTTGTAAACTCTGTAGCACTCTTCTTCTATTTTCTCTCAAAGGATTTTTTTAGAAGTTTAATAGGACTATACAAGTGTAAAATTTGTGAAGTTATTAAGAGAAAGAAATATTTGAAATTAATAAGATTAATATTATTGACTCACAGACTGCTGCTATTCTAATAGAGTCACAGGTCACAGAAAAAGTAAAAAGAGAGATCAGAGTCTACTCATTAATAATTTCATTCTTATCAAACTTATTCTTCACTTTTAAAGTCTCTGACACTGATATCTTCATCTGCTGTGAAGTTAGTGCTACAGCATCACAGAAGTGTATGCTGCAGAAGAGTATGAGAAATGTATAAAGTATCAATCTATCAATTTATAAAGTATCTCACTTATCTACTTTAATTGAAGTGAGATTATCTTCAATCAGTGATTAATCTCTGTAGCACTTTCAACAGCAGCACTGACTAATTTCTTCTTCTTAAGACTGATCATTCTGAGGTGTTTTTTCATCTCAGAGATTCACACTTGCATCTTCTTTTACAGATGAGTAAGAGGGCTCTTCTCAGTCATGATAGAATTCATTAATACTTGAAGCTTCAAGACTCTTACTCTGCACTACTTGAGTATCCAAGCTTCTTATGAAATAATACTTACAGAGAGACAGAAGTTGTTGCTACAGATATAACAGAAATAACAGAAGTGAGAGAAGAAGTAGATGTATAAGATTCTCTCTTGCTTCAGCTTCTTAACACAGCACAGATAAGTAACAGTGTCAGTCAGAGATCACATCAGAGTCTTCTCACAGAGAGAAGATAAAGAAACTGCAGAACTCTGCAGACTCAACTCAGCAGTATTCTGAGCAGAGCTCAGACATGTCATAGAAGAGAAACTATAGATTGAACTTCTTGAAGCTGCTGTCTTCAGAATCAAGCTCTCTCTGAGATTCTCTGTGAATCATTACATGAGGTTGTACATCATCATGTTGATTGAAGAAGAAGACAGTATTGCAACAGTTATAGAGAGAGCAGAGACAGAACTGATTACTGATGAATCAACTGGCAGAAGAGATAACATCTCACTACAAGGCACAGCTTCTACTGCTGCGGCTGCAAGAGAAGTAGAAAAAGAAGAAGAAGAAGATGTGACAATAAAAGCAGTGCTTCTGTGATCTGTTAACACTGCTATCTTCATCTTTAACCTGACTTTCTTGACAGTTACAGAGACCGCAGCTGCATTATGAAGACATTTAATCACTAGAAAGCATCAGAATAAGTCTCTTATTATCTCTCAAAGATAATGCTTTCATGCACTTACTATTGCAAATAAAGAGAAAGAGAGAAAAATGTGTCATAGAGAGAAAAGATCATTTCAAAAATTTCTACTACTACTGTTAGCTTTGTCTCTAAAACACACTACTTTTGCAGAGAATTTCATATATAGAATGGAATATAATGAGAGATCTGTAAGTCACTTATTAACTATATTTTTCACATTTCAAATTAATATATAAGGAATTCACTTATCATGTGTTTGATTCGAACAGAGATGAGAAAAGAAGATCTACACAGTTAGCAGAGAAACTCATCTATTTCTTCTCATCACACGCAGCACATGTGCTGTTAAATCAGTTGACAACTATTGCTATACAACAAGGATAATTTCTAATTGTCAGTGTGACTCAGTTAATAAGACTGACATTATCAAAACTAATAATTCATCTGCATTGAGTTCCTGCTCATATGAATCTTCATGGCAATGAATTGACTGATTCAGTTGCAAAAAAGAGTTCAGAATTAAGCAGATCTATTTGAAAAACAGTGTTCTGATCTTTCATAAAGAGAAAGACAAAAGAATCTGGTTTAAATAAGTGAAATGAAAGCTGGCAGAAACAAAAGAAGAGCATACATTATTCAAGATTTGAGACAAAACCAAAGTGAAAATCTTGTTCAATTAAATGTAAAAAGAAAATAGTCTCATCTATAATTCAGCTAAAACTAGAACATGGTTATTTCAAATTCTATATACAAAGATTTGATGATAGATTTGATTCAACAGAGTGCTCATTCTGCAATACAAATGAAAATTCTGAGCATATTGTAATGCATTGTACATTATACAATAGTCTCAGAGTCAGATTAAAGAAGAAGTATGATTTAAATCAATTAACTATGAGGTTCTTATTCTCAACTGAGATAGGAATTAAATACTTAATAGACTTTCTATCAGAAACTCAAGCAGCTACAAGAAAATGACTGAATTCAGAAGTATCTAAATATGAAGAGAGAGAAATTGATTAGATATAGTCTGTTAAAACAGCTATACACTATCTTTTAATGATTTTATTTTGTTATAGTCTCTCTTTACTGTACTTGTTTCTTTCTGTTCTTTTCTATCTATTTATTTAATGTGTCTATCTTTAAGACTATGTTCTCTTTTCCTTTGTCATGATGTTTTCAAATGATTTCAAAGTGTCAGAAGGTGTTGAAATACTGCAATTTGTAAATAGTTTTTGTATTCTGAGCTGGAATTTTTTGATTTTGCATATCTGAAATTGATAAATGTATAATAGTTGACTGTATAGATATAGGAAAAACCCTGAGAACTAAAGATTCTTAGATAGATGTTATAGTCTCTAACGGCATACATCTATAATTGAAGAATAATAATAATAATAATAATCTTACATATCAGAATAATACAAGAGATGTATAATTTATATATAACTGATTATCTGAGTTATAAGCAACTATATTGAATTATCTCTCAAGAGTTCTACTGACTGAGATATTGAACAGCAGCAGACACTTTATCTGAAACTATAATTATTATTTCTTCATCATCTTATGAAAGAATTGTAGAAAAGATCTAATAAAACTGATCAATATCTCTACTATTATTATTATTATTATTCTTCAATTATAGATGTATGCAGTCAGAGACTATGACATCTACCTGAGAACCTTTAGTTCTCAGGGTTTTTCCTATATCTATAGAGTCAAGTATTTAGACTGACCGTGTGACCATGTCTGAGACCAGGACCAGAATTTTTGATAGTCTCATTGGCAATTCGACAGATCTCATTACACGGTTCTAACATTAGATAGTAGTTCCATACTGTCCCAGTGGGACTTACTGTCTACTCTTGTCACATTTTCCAAATGAGACCATGATTTCCACTTCTCAATTTAAATTATTTTTATTGCTTTAAATGACTTTAAATCTCATTTGAGTGTTATCAAAAAGCGTTACTTTTTAAAAAATTAAAAATAGTCTAAAAAAAACCTTAAAATGTCTAAAAATAGTAACTTTATGCTAAGAATGAGACTAAATGGGACTAAATGAGACCACTTTCTCATTTTTTTCAAGTCATGGTTTCATTTTGAGATCTGATATATAGTCACTTTGCATGTTTGTTTAATGATTAGTCCCAGCGGGATTCACGCCAAGAAATGTATGAGATCAGATCAAATGAGATCAAATGTGAAATTCACGGTCTCAGCGGCCAGTCTACAAGTATTATACACTTATCAATTTCAGATATGCAAAATCAGAAAATTCCAGCTCAGAATACAAAAACTGTTTACAAATTGCAGCATTTCAACACCTTCTGATACTTTGAAACCATTTGAAAATATCATGACAAAGGAAAAGAGAACATGCTCTTAAAGATAGACACATTAAATAGATAGATAGAAAAGAACAAAAAGAAACAAGTACAGTAAAGAGAGACTATAACAAAATAAAATTATTAAAAGATGGTGTATAGCTGTTTTAACAGACTATATCTAATCAATTTCCGCCTCTTCATATTCAGATACTTCTGAATGCAGCCATTTTCTTATAGATGCTTGAGTTCTGATAGAAAGTCTATTAAGTATTTATTCCCTGTCTCAGTTGAGAATAAGAACCTCATATTTAATTGATTTAATCATACTTCTTCTTTAATCTGACTCTGAGACTATTGTATAATGCATAATATATTACAATATGCTCAGGATTTTTATTTGTATTGCAGAATGAGCACTCTGTTGAATCAAATCTATCATCAAATCTTTGTATATAGGATTTGAAATAACTATGTCCTAGTTTTAACTGAATTATGAATGAGAATATTTTCTTTTTACATTTAATTGAACAAGATTTCCACTTTGGTTTTATCTGAAATCTTGAATAATGTATGCTCTTCTTTTGTTTCTGCCAGCTTTCATTTCACTTGTTTAAACAAGATTATTTTATCTTTCTCTTTATGAAAGATCAGAACACTGTTTTTTGAATAGATCTGCTTAATTCTGAACTCTTTTTTGCAGCTGAATCTGCCAATTCATTGTCATGAATATTCATATGAGCAGGAACTCAATGCAGATGAATTATCAGTTTTAATGTTCTTCTTTTTTGAATTTTCAAAACAGAGTTTAAAATCAGTTCAAGATTCATTTGATCATTATGAATCTGACTATTTCTAAGTCTTTTTAAAGCAGCTTGACTATCAGAGAATATTCATGTCTCTTTCAAACTATTTTCTCTTTTATGAGATTTTATTTCAATGAGTTTGAAAGCTTTCACTATTACAAATAGTTCAGCGTCAAAGACTTCAGCTTCACAGTCTAAATTTCAGAAATCTGGGATAAAATTGATATTATCTTCAGTATAAGCAATATCTGCATCTAATCTATTCAAATTCTCATTTTTTGAGTCATCTGAGTAAATCAGAATAGAGTCTTTCATATTGATTATAGAGATCTTCTTCAAATGCTGTTCATATTCTCTCTCTTTAGATATTTCACTTATTTGTAAGTCTATGAGAGATTTCAGCTTATTTCTTCAGAGAGATATCTTCTCATGCTTAATTTTCTCAATATTTAATGAAGAAAATTAATTTTTAATAAGTGAACATAGTCTATAGAGTTGAGAGAGCATTTTCTTTAAAGTATTATTCTCATTTCAATCAAGAAATCTATTTTAATTCAGTTCATTTCCTGAGTTAACTGATGAACATAAATAAGAGACTCTTTCTCTGATTATATAATTTGAGCTCATCTTCATGACTCTTAGAGCATAGTTCATACAGGCCTTTTCAAATTGAATAGCAGGAGATGGAATTGAAGCTTCAATTTTCATTGCTTTAATAGAAGATGATTTAAATGCTCTCAGAATTCTTCTCAAAGCTCTGTTTTATAGACTTTGAAACAGTTCAGTGAAGTTATCTTGATTATTTCATCAAACTTGAACTCTATAATCAGCTACTGAGATAATACAGGCTATGTATAACTGTCTCATAGCCTGAAAAGATACACCTCTCTCAGTATTTGATAGTCTGATTATACTATTCAGTAGTCTCTCTACCTTGATGATTCTTTGTTGAATAAAATATTTAAAATTCAACTTAGAGTTTAATCATACTCCTAGTCATTTGACATTCAAACTGGGTTTAATCTCTTTATTCAAAAGAGTTAGACTTAGTTTTTTCTTATTAAATCTGGAAAAAAAGTGAATTAACTCAGTTTTATTTATATTAAATTGAATTGAATTGATATCTGCTCTAACAAAGATTTTCTTTACTGCTTTCTCAATCACTTCTAAATTCTCTTTGATTGTCTTTGAACTGTAGAGTAGATCAATATCATCTACATAACTTGAAGATCTCACTATTTTTATCTCTCTATTCTTGAATAGATATGCAGTGTATATTGCAAATAAAACAGGTGAGATTGAAGATTCTTATAATACTTCTATTTTTATCTCAGTTTTATGTTGTTTTCTTCCATCAAAGAATAGTTGTATAATTCTTTTAGATATGAAACAATTAACTCATTTTATTAGAGAAAGTGACAGTTTTAACATCTTCAAAGTTTAAATCATCTTAGACTTTGAAACATGATCAAATGCATCTTTTATATCAATAAAAACTGCAGTTGAGACCAGATCTTCATGCTTTACTACTTGAATATCATGAATAACTGAGAGACCAGTGTCAACTGCAGAACAATGTTTTCTATCTCTCATTTATTCATTAAATAGAAGAGAATTACTAATAGAGCTTATAAAAGATAATCTAGTAGCTATTATCTTTTCTAGAACTTTTCTCAAACAGTTCAAAAGAGATATTACTCTATATAACTTAGAAATTGAAGCTTTTCTATTAGGTTTTGCAAGGATTACTTCAGTAGC